AAATCATTACTCCATTACTATTTCTGAAATTTCATGCATAGAATGATCTTAATTATACACTTGAACATACGCAGGTCTAACAAGATTAATGGTGTAAAACTAAGACCATAACACTAAGGGGAGGAAATATTAAAGAACTAGAGGATAATTACATGTTTCACCCATCCTATACTGCATCCTGGCTGTATCATCCCTTTTGTGTGTCCCTTCTGTGATGGGCTGTCCAATGATCTTACAGGTGAGTTTTGGGTCTCCACTTTATCTATGCTCCTTCCTGTCACTGTCATTGCTTGACACCTCATGATCACACAGGATGGTCATGCATTACTTGGGGCTTCTGGTCTACATTCTCAGATCTTTTCCCCAGTCCTCTGTCATTCCTAAGTCTCTTTGCTACTTATCCGTTCTCTATTTGGCTTCTGTTTCGCTCTGTTGTACAGACAGTCACTAAGAGCCGGAGTTGACTCAACTGGACCAACAGCAATGTTCAACCTCTAATGGTTATAGTTCCCAAGGTCCTCAGTCCACTCTCTTTCAAGGCGGTCTCAACCATCCCCATGGCTTTGACATTCTACAAGTAATGACTCCGCATTGATGCCTTCAACTCAGAGCTTTCCTCCAAATTCCATATTCATCCAGCCCATTGCCTTGACATCATCGAGGGGCATTTTTCAAAGGTAACATCTTCAAAAGTGAACTCTTGGGCTCTCTCAGCTCCAAATTGTCTCCTCCAGACTTCCCATCTCAGTAAGTATCACTTCCATTCATTCAGCTGCTTGTACCAGAAAAACTTTGTTAAAACTACAAGTAATTCTTTATTGTTTTAAATGCTCTTCCGCAGTTTAAATTTCTTCAACATAGACTTTACTTTATAAATATATTTGTCAAAAAAATTTTTTTAACTTCCTTTCTTCCTTAGAAAAGGGAAATAAGACAAAGGTGGGCTTCAACACCCTGCTTTACACTTTCTCTAATGTCCGTAAATTTTAATGATAGGACCATTTAAATAATCGTAAAAATTACTATGGATTTTCAAATTACCGTTAGTGTTTTGATTTATTGATGACATCACAGACTCCGCTTCTATCTAGAAAAGAGAATAATAGAACATGTAACTACATGGAAGTTTTTCACAGGGCAAGTTCTTAAATCCTGGGACAGAGGTAAGGGACCCAGTCAACAGATGCCACTTGAGGGCATAAGGTCATCATTTCACTATTCTAACAATAAGTTAAACCCATGATTTTGACTCCTGGTGAGTGTATAGCAGTCTACTCTACTTTACACACACACACATACAAAGCACCACATCTGTGCCTTTGCCACATCTGCTCTAACTCAGGGTGACGTCACATAGTCTATATTTTTCTTTTGGCTGAAATCTTTGCAGAAGATACCCACGCTTTTCTTCTGTGGAAATGATGGATGAGTTCAAACTGTCAACCCTCAGGTCCGAAGAAGACTGCAAACCTCATGCACCACCCAGGGATCTTCAAAACTGACAAATGTTTTACTTTTATGCCAAGAATCCCTGAGGACGCAATGATGAAGCAGCGGCTGCTTAATGAAAGGTTTACAGTTCAAATCTAGGTTAAATTGATAACCTATAAAGCAGGTGGGTCGATTGGGGTAAGATCAACTATCATTATTAGTAAATTAGTGCAGATCTTTCTGGAGAGCAACACCCAAGAAAGTGTGAACTATGTGCTTCCATAGAAACCTTCAACCCAGGAAACCCTATGGGGCAGTTCTACTCTGTCCAACAGGGTTGCTATGGGTTGTCTGCCTTGACAGTGTCAGGTCGGGGAAGTCCTGAGCTGTAGTGCGGACCCATTCATTGTGACCTTGTCCACCTGAGCCCCAAACCCAGAGAGGAAGCTCTACCTTGGAGGGCTTGTACCCAAACAGCATGACAACAGCAACTTTAAAGTCCTCTCTGCTTAGGTAGCCTTTGTTATCTTCATCACAGGCTTTAAATACCTAA